ACTGGATAAAGCAATCTTGGTTGCATGTTCTTGCTTTTCATTACTTGGAGAAGGTCATGCCACTGCCTTCTGGCCTGCGCAGTTTCTGTTCAGAGTTGTGCTGATGGCCTTATGGGGGTTCCCTTGTAGGTCACTGCTTGTCTCTCTCCTGCAGTCCTTAATATTTTCTCTTTGTCCTTGAGACTTGCCATTTTAATTATGATGTGTCTTGGAGTGGGTCTCTTTGGGTCCCTCTTGTTTGGAACCCTTTGTGCTTCCTGAACTTGTGTGGCTTTCTCCTTTGCCAGCCTAGGGAAGTTTCCTTTTTCTTTTTTTTTCTTTTTAAATATATCTTTATTGATTTTAGAGTGAGGAAAGGAGAGGGAGAGAGAGAGACAGAAACATCAATGATGAGAGAGTCATTGATCAAGCCCACAACCGGGCATGTGCCCTGACCGGGAATGGAACCCTGATCGCCTGGATCCCAGGTCGATGCTGAACCGCTGAGCCACGGCCCGGCCGGGCAGGGAAGTTTTCTATCATTATTTCCTACACCAAGTTCTCTATCCCTTGCTCTATTTCCTCGCCCTCTGGAACTCCTATAATGCAAATGTTGTTTCTCTTTATGTCCCAAAGCTCCCTTAGACTGTCCTCATACTTTTTAAGTGTTTTTTCCTTTTGCTGCTCTGATTGTGTGATTTTTTTTCTACCTTGTCTTCTAAGTCACTTATTCTATCCTCTGCTTCATTGAGCCTGCTTTTAATTCCTTCCAGTGCATTCTTGATATCAGATACAGCATTCTTTATCTCTGTCTCAGAGTTTTATTTATGGTATATATCTCTTTTTTCATGTTTTCACTCAGGTTCTCGATCTTTTCATGTAGTGTCTTCTTAAGTTTCTTGAACATCTTCAACATCAATACTCTGAACTCCATGTCTGATAACTTGCTTAACTCCATCTCATCAAAATCCTTTTCTGGCAGTTTTTCCTTTTCTTTAATTTGGGGGTTGTTTCTTTGTCTCCCCATTTTGGTAGGTTAGTGTTTGTATCTGTATATTAGATATATTTGCTGTTCTCCCAGTCTTGTGGCATAGGATTTTGTCTTGTGGGCCCAGTGGAGCCCAGAGGTGTGTTTTCCTTATACTGCTGAGCTCTTTGCTCTAGGCGTGTCCCTCTTGTGGGTGTCCCTTTTGTGGTTTCTTTATGTTCTCATGTTGTGGTTGGGTCTAGATTGTCATTGATCAGTCCTTGGGAGGACCCTTCTTGCAGGTTGGCTAACTGTGTCTCAGCCCCAACCTTGTCATGTAAGCTGTTGTAGGGGTGCTGGCAAGGCAGGAGACAATACACAACTAAACTTCTAGGAAACAAGGGGTATCTTACAAAATATCTGGACAGTCACAATGAAAATAACCCACATGAAAATAGAGCTGGGAGAGTGAAGGGAGAACACACACATACAAAAATGCTTTAAAAAAAGAGAGAAAGAAAAGTAACAGAGAGAGAGATGTATATTGTTGTTAATACTGGTGAAAACTTAGAGAATAATAATAAACTAAAATGTAAAAAATAGAGAAGCTACTGGGAGACCACAGAAGCAGAGAAAAGATTCTGAAAGAAGGGCCAGCAAAAAATTAAGGGAGATACTAGGAATAGGATAATAGTTGAAAATGAGAAAATAAAAATACAGTAAAGAGAGTAAGAGAAACTAACACTCGAACAAAAAGACAGGAAGACAGAAGGGAGGAAAACAAAAGAATGAAAGAAACATAGAAAAAGGAAAAATGGATCGAGAGGAGAGAGAGAGATAAAGCCCAGGCAGGGAAGGAGTTCGGTAAGAGATTTGGGGGAAACTGTAGAGGAAAGCAGTAAACTTGGTTATAATGATAAAGTCCCAGTTGTTAAGCAGGGATATCAAGAAAGTCTTGATATTAGAAGCAAGGATAAAACAAAACAAAGCAAATAACCGAAAGAAAACTAAAAACAAGCTAAGCAAGAGAAAATTATTTTATAAATAAAGAGAAAAAAATTTAGTTAAAAAAATTAAAAAAAAATTATTATAAAATTTAAAAAAGAAGAAAAAACAAATGTCCTGCCCTTTCTCTTCTTCCTAAGGAAAAAAGAGAAAAAATAAACAAAACCACAAACAAAAAACAAACAAACAAAAAAAACAAAACCAAAGCAAACCAACAAACAAACAAAAAAGAAGAAAAAAAGGTAGTCAGGTGAGTTTCTTCTGGGGAGCTCATGTTGTCTGAGGGTCACAGTTTTGTGTGCTGATTTCAGTTCTCCTGGGAGGTACTTGTGTATCACCCAATGTGAGGAGCTAGCTGTCTAGGTTTGGCTCTGGTGTCCTTAGGTAGATGGTTGATCTGAGGCTCTCCGTCGACCACCTCCTCTTGTCAACTATTTTGCAACCTTATAGTTGCCTGGTCTTACTCCAGAGCCTTCTGTAGAGCCTTTAGGGTGCAGGGTGGCTAGTGTAGCTCAGGGTATCACTCCCCTTAGAGGTGTCGCTGTCAGGCACTCACTCTGCAGGAGTTAGTCTCTGCTCCACCGCCAGCTCCTCAGTCCCTACCTTGTCCTCTGATTCTAGTTCCCCAGGCTCTGTCCTGCTGCAGCTTCAGATTGATTCCAGCCTGTTGCCTTTTCTGTATGGGCCGTTTCAGCAGCCTGGGCTCAGTGGGTTCGATTAAAAAACCATTCTGGTGAGCCCTGTGCCTGCCCAGCCCACCAGCAGGGGCTTTCAGTGTTTCCTCCTGTTCCCAAACAATAGTCACTGAGAGTCTTATTCTTGTATAGTCATCCTGTGAGCTGTTCTTCCTTCCCCCTCAGGTCTGTGCCCTGCAGGTGTGTCTGGGCCTCAGTGAGCTGGACCAGACCCTTTCCTGTTGGGGGCCTTGCTTCTGGCTGCAGGAGAGGCAGGCAGGCTCTGTCCCTCCCTGCCCAGCTCTGGTTGGCTGGTTGCACCAGGCCCGCCCCTCAGACAGTCTACTGAGCAGACCCCAACCCCAGCCTCTGCTTGTCTGTCCACACAGTGCACTCCAGGAAGGTGGGAGCCAGGTCTCCAATCAAACTCACAAACACACAAAGCAACACATAGGCAGAAAGCCAGCCCTGCAAGGTCTTGCGGCCTGCGCACCAAGGCACCTAGCGGGAGGGGACCCAATGTCAGCTACACGCAGCTCTCCACACCGCTCCTCTCAGCAAGGCAGGGGCAGCTTCACACACCACCTCGGGGCCCCTCAGGGCTGGTGACAGATCCCATCCTCTCTGCATCAGGAGTTCAGGGCGGGGAGGGCTCCTCCCCTCTACCGCACCACCCAGATTCAGTGCTTTCTGGGGCTCAACACAATGCCTTACGGGAAGGCAGCGGGTCCCCGTGTGAGGCTGCTCAGCGCAGTCCCCTGGTCCCTTACCACTTGGGTGTCACAGACTTTGGGACAGCCTTCCCTATGGTCGGCACCCGGAGCATTAGACGCCGGTCACAGCTGCCACTATAAGCTTTGTTTCGCTAGGAAGGCGCCGATCCCTCCGGGATTCACTGCTTCCCTGGGTCCCTCTGCCCTGTGTGCAGGGCGCTCCCTCCCCTCTCATTGCTCGGGGTGTGAGATCCCCGCTTTTGGAGGCCGGTCCACACCCCCGAGGCGAGGGAGCTTTGCAGCCTCCAAGCCTCTGGGCTTGGAGCCCAGCACAGGCTTCAGGTGGGACTCCTCCTTTCTAGGCCCCCCCTCTCTTACCGGACTCCGTGATGTTTCTTCAGTGCTCCCCACTCGCACTCTGTCCACTCAGGTATGTTTCTCTGGTTTTTCCAAGCTGGCTATGTAGGATTTTAGGAGTAAATCAAGTCTGTGGCTGGGATCAGGGGTGCTCTGCTTTTTTCACAGTGCCACCATCTTCCCCTCAATACTCGAGAGATTCTTAGTCAAACCCTAAGGTTTGAGGCAGGGAAGATATAGCAGGGTCCTAGTTTTGCAACTGTCTTGTTGTAGATGAGGGAGGCATGTGCTGTTATTCAGCTAATTCTGTCTTCAAACCACCTGGTTTGAACAAAGTGTGAAAAGACACACATGACAAAAAGAGGATGGAATCTTGTATGTGTAATGCCCTTAGATGCTTTCACGTGAAGAAAGTTGTGACAAAGAATGTCAGGTGGGATGAGGAGTGTTTCCTTGAGTGTCTTCGGTGTCACTTCCTCCTGGATAGGAAATGGGAGCAGCCTCTTGGTTTCAGTGGTATGCTACCCCACCCCAAGCCCCCATGTGTGTGAGAAAGGACAGATAATGGCTTGCAATAATCATATTGAGTTCTTTGAAGGTATGTATTAACCTTGTCCCAAAAACCTTTTCTTTTGGCTTTGCTACATTCCTCTTCCCAGCGGTCTTGTTCTGTCCAGATGCCCTGCCTTCCTCTGCTTACCTTGCAGCTGGCAGCAACAGCAGAGCCATTTAGGAGAACCATTGCTTTGGTTCATGAAGGACTTGCTCTTTCTTTCGATGATTTTCCTGCCTTTCTTCATTATGTCACCTGTTGCCCCACGTGAATATTGGTGTTTTCCCTTTTATAGGTAACACTTAGGGGATATTTGGATTCTCTGTTACATCTGCCTTCCATTTACTTCACAATAATGAACTCAGCAAATATTTCCATAGACATTTTTAGGCCAGCACTGACTTGGTTGGATCTTGCTGCCAAAAGAAAGTACTATGTGTGCTTTAAAGAAATAGTGTTGATGTCTTATCTCTCTTAACTCCTTTCTTGGTTCCATCATGCCCCAACTATAAAAAGATAAAGTCTGTACACTACAGGAGGTAGGGCATTTGGGTTTTGACCAGTTCTGCTACTAGAGTCTGCTTTCTCCTTCATTAGTTGATTCTCTTCAGCTGCCTTTCCTTTGGATTTTGTGCTTCTGAGGATTTTGTACTTCCAATGTGTGGGGCCCAGTCTCCCCTGCTCTCCAACTTCTGCTTTCTCAAAGTGATCTTTGGGCCTTCATTTATATTTTACTGTCCCCGCTCTCCCAGGTGAAGATAGTGCTGGAAACAAACAGAACCCCTTCAACGCCCCAGAGGACAAAGACCTGCGTATGGAGAAGTACTTCATGGACAGGCAACTCATAAAAAAGTCACCAGTGGAGCAGGTGGACTTGGGCATGCCACACAGCCCCACCCTGCAGCTGGGCAGAAAGTGCAGTGTCTCAGGTGACAGCACCCACACGAAGACCACTGTGGAAGATCTGCAAGAGGGTCTTCTGCTAAAACACAAGTGGAGATGGGCTTCCAAAGGTGAGTTCCGTTGGGTTCAGCTACATGTGTAGGCAGCCAAAGTTGGACAGACAGGAGTGGTGCACCCATAGTTGCCAGAGGGCGCCCTGAAAAGTGGCAAATTGGAGCACTGGAGATTCCCATTCTCACCCTAGGGCCCTAGGTAAGCGAGTCACACCTCCTCCTCTTTCCCAAAGCCACAGACAGGAGCTCAAGCCCAAAGATGGTCAAACACAAACAGGTCCTCCCCCCCCCCC